GTTGAGGCAGCAAAACCCGAAAGTTCTATGACGTTGAAACTAAAGCCCACGTACACGAGCTTAGCCTACTTCTCAACCTCTCCATTAAGTTTCCTAAGATAAATCTTAATGTTAGCCTCCCAACTTTTTCAAGATGTTTCCCCTTTGTTATTTCCTATGCATTTCTTCTCTGTCCCTCAGTAGCCACGTGAAGGAAACCAGCTTACTTCCTGACTCAAACTGGTTTCTTACTTGACTTATTCTTCAACACTGATGATGAAGGCAACATGTTCTTCCGAAACGTCGGCTGACTTTCAACAGACTACACCGCATTATATCCAAGAAGACAGAAATGTTCTACGAATATGAACAAATTTACTCAGTGAAGTAAGATAAATTGTTATAATGTTTCGAGTTCCTAGATTTTGACCGTTTCAATTATAATTTTTAGACGTAAAAGGACGTTTATAGAAACTTGTTTTGTAACTTTGACCTCAAATTGTTACGACTTCTAATGCATACATTCAAAGGTGTGTTGTTGGGCACGTCTTGAGTTTTAAGTAGGGTTTCTTTGCAAATGGTGACTTTGATTCTTATATACACCTGGGATAGAATTCAGTTTCATTTCTAACAGATAATCTCCATTGTTTTCAACAGCTACTGAGTCCGCAAGAGAACTATACCGACCGAGCGACCGCCGCTTGTCGATGAAGTTAGTGCTAACTTTAGCGGATAGAGGGTGTCACGTGGTCAGCGTAACGGATCCCCACGGCCGTTAATTGCGGTTTTCTATACCGGAAGCTACAGTAAAAAAGAACTCCTACAATATTTTGAAAGGAATGTTTTAATTTTTTTTTCCGCTTTTTCTTACTGTGCTTGAAGTTTCATGAAGATGCTGTTTGTTTGTTTGTTTCATACGTCGGATATGAATGGTTACTGAACATTGTGAAATATAAATGCAGGTTTATCTTAACCGCAGCCACATTCGGAAACTATACATAATCACTGTTTATTATTCACAATTATTCACTATTATCACAACAGATTAATACGGTATTAATCTTGTCTCCAGCTTGAGACTTATCTATATCTTTTACTTAATTCGGACAGTTAATTTTCACAATTTGCCTTCCATCCGAGAACCCGATGATCGTGTTCACAATGAGCTGAGTGGCATAGCGGTAACGCTCCAAATTTCTCTTCGGGGAGTGCTTGGTTCGAATTTCGGCCGGGATATCTCCTATCCTGGCTCAGGTATTTTGTAGGTTTTCTCAGTACCTCCAGCCAAATTCCGGGGTAAAACATCTTGAGCAGCTCCTCCCCTCTTTACTACCTTAGAGAGGGAGGATGCTGCATTCATCCCTGATTCATATGCAGCGTTCCTAATGCCCCCCCCCCCGGGGAGTAGACTGGGGCATCCAAGCTTCGGTCTTACGAAATGATAGCCAGAAAATCTCAAAGGTAAGAAAACAAAGAAATACAACAAATAATAATCATGGAACAGATCAGCAAAAGTAACCCAGTACTTACAAGAAACAATATACGTACATACAGTAAGGTTACAACTCGTGAGATGTACGAACAAATGATATGTATCTCAAATTTATAGTGCATTATAATTTAGAAACTTGAATTTCTGACCGGCTGGACGCAAATCATACATAATTGCCATATTACATGGCGTGACGCTCCAGAAGATTGTGGTCTTAAAAATATGAGAACTTTTATCAACTCATCTTAAAAAATCCGCTTGTAGTATGTAAGGAAAATATTTCAGCTCAACCGAACAATGGAATGACAACTCGTGACGAACGTAAATCCAGTGGTACCTAAACTGTAATGAACATATAATCAAACCTACAGTTAAATACATTGGTAATTAATTTAATTTAAAATATAAGCTTTCGTAAAAATCTAATACTATTTGTTAAACATTAAGACTATACAAAAAATAAGATTGTGATCTTAATATCCACTTCCATGAAAATTTTCTTCCATAATGCTTATAATTTCAGTATTTCTAGCCCCCAGTAAAGCTAAGTAAGGGTTTTTANCATTAAACTAAGTGCTATTACGAATAGAGGAATGAAACATTAATATTTAATCAAGAATTAAATAGTATAGATTTTCTGAGGAAAATTACGTAATTCATTTTGCTTTATATAATAATATATAATATAAATACTATATAAATACTAACAGTTACTATACTAATAATATACTAATAATATAAATACTAACAGTTATACTGTATTTAAAATATGTTTGGGTAGAACATTCCTGGCTCCGAATACGTCAACCTCCCTGCAGACAACATTAGCAGCTGCTGCGCATCTAGCAGAGGGACAATTCTTAAATGAAGGGCAAATATTGAACAATGCAAAATCTCTGATATACCGAGCAGGAACTCGGAGACCAACAATTTCCAGGACAGAAGGGCAGAATTTAGAGCCAAAATAAACTTGAATAAGAAAGAGAGCATCAAGGCGATGTCTCCTAGTACATAAAGTATGTAATTTTAACTCCTCAAGAGCAAGAGAATAATAATAATAATAATGTCAATGCAAACATTCAGGTATTCCATCAAAACGTGCAAAGTCTAAATAATAAAAAGCTAAATAATATGGACGTGCTACTAACAGATATAGTACTAGAGTTGGACGTACTATGTATCACCAAACACTGGTTACAGGTTATTGTAATTTTGAAAACTATTCCCTTATTTCGAAATTCCGTAGGAAAAATAAGCAGCATGGAGGCTCATGTATCTATGTCAAAACAAATCTAGAAGCAAAGCCTTTATAACTTGTTTGAAAACTTGAATCAAGAAGAACACTTTGAGGCTAGTATAATCGAACTTATCCAGTTTAATACAATTATTATCTGTGTATATAGAACTCCAAACAGTAATATTAATATATTTATTGAAACCACAGACACAATAATTAGTAATTTAATAAACAAAGGAAAGAGCATCATTACTGTATGTGATCTCAGCATAGATTTCCTAGGAGGAAGAGTAAATCTACAACTAGAGACAATGTTAAACTCATATGGCTTGCAAGCAATAGTTGCTGTCCCAACGAGAATAGGACCTAGAAGTCAAACAGCATTAGAGCAAATAATATTGAACAAGGGCTTATGAGGATACAATCTTAAGGTGATTGAAACAGGATTTTCTGACCATAAAGCACAGATACTACAAATATAAATGCAGTATAAGAATAAAAAGGGGCAAGTTAGACTAAAGGAAGAATTCAGAATAGCTAGATCTTACAGGGAAGAGAATGTACAATACCTAAGCTATCTACTAGAAAAAGAGACCTGGGAGCTTGTTTTTAAGAAAAATTCAGCGAATGAGGCATACAATGAATTTTTAGGTACTTTACAGTATTATTATGCTATAGCTATGCCTAAAAAATGGGTAAAAACGAAACAGCAGGAAAATAAATGGGTTACCTCAGGAATAAGGGTATCGGGGAATAGACTCAGGTTTCTTAACAGTCTAATGAAAGAAGGAAATATGCACAGAAGAATTTAAAGAATACTACTGTCATTACAAAAAATATACAACAAAGTTATCAGTGAAGCAAAAAATTAACTAATAACATGTGAATAAGAGCATCTGAGAATAAATCAAAAGCCATGTGGGGCCTAGTTAAGGAGGAACTAGGTAAACAGAAGAAAGCAACGAAGAATATTGAAATAAGTGAGAATGGAGTAAATATAAAAGATCCAAAAGCTACAGCTAATGTCTTTAATGAATACTATAACAGTATTGTTGATTGTCTTGCTTACATACCACTTAACAGCCATATTGGATGAGAAGAAACTTTTTATTATAATACAAAACAAAAACAAATGAATATAGATCACTATTACCAACTTGAACATTTTTACATTACCAGATTCTCAACATTCCTCCTTAATTTCAAAATGTTATAAACACATTTCTCACTTTCCTCCTTAATTTCAAAATGTTGTCAACATTATTAGCTGTTTTACAAAATTAAATTGAATAACACTTAGTAATTTTGGTCTTCAGATTACAAAATTAGTACATGTAATTATAATTTTCTCAGTCTTATCAAAATCAGACTTATTTCTTCTTAAGTATAATGTCTCTAAACTTGGTAAATTTCTCTGGTGATAGCAGTTTTGTTAAAATGTCTGCCACCTGAGTTTCAGTGTTACAGTATTTGATTGAGAACAGTTTCTCTTTCAATTGTTCACTTATGTAGTGATACCTAACGTCTATGTGCTTACTCATACGCGTTACTTGTCCAGATTCTATTAGCTTGATTGCGCTCTGACTGTCGACACACAGTTCAGCTTCCACCCTTTCTCCTGTCAACTGCTCTATGAACGTCTTTAGATATTTCAATTCTTTACAGCACTCAGCTGCTGCAATATATTCGGCCTCGGTGGCTGATAATGCAACAATACTCTGTTTCCCAGAGCACCATGATATTGGGCCCCCTGGCATCATAATTACATATCCCGTTACACTCTTCCTATTCTTTACATCCCCTGCATAATCAGCATCACTAAATGCTTCCAGTTTCACAGTTTCAGAGTCAGGTGAGGTATATTTTATTCCTGAATCTCGTGTACCTTTCACATACCTAAGGGTTCTTTTCACATTCTGAGCAGCCATTTTGTCAGGATTTTCCAAGGTTTGACTTTCCACGTTTACAACGAATGCCATATCGGGTCTGGTGTTAGACGTCATATATAGCAGGCTTCCTACAGCTTCTCTGTAAAGAAATCTATGTCATTTTCTCCTTCGTCATTTGTTGGTCGGGTCGTGACCATGGGTGTTTTCATTTCTCAACTTTCTTGCATGTTGTATTTTTCCAACATTTGGCTTGCATAGTTGGTTTGAGAGATATGTATCCAATCTGGTTGCCTCTCAATTTATATTCCTAAATAAACTTTTGGATTTGTCATTTTTGTTATCTGGAATTGATTTTCCAGTTTCAGCAAAATTTTCTCTATTTGTCTTTCTTCCTCTCCCATGATTATCCTGTCATCCACATGAATGGCCATGAACAAACTATTGGCATCATTCTTAAAAATGCATTGGTCAGATATTTTAGTTGGTTTAGACCTTCTTCTTTTAGAAAGGTTGTCAACTTCTTGTTCCATTGTGATGGTGCTTGTCTTAGGCCATATAATGCCTTTTTCAGGAGACATATCTTGCCAGTGTTCTTGTATCCTTCTGGTATCTCCATGTAGTTTTCCTCCTCAAGGTCTCTATACAGGAAGGCAGCCTTCGCATCAAAGGTTTGCATGTTCATATTCTTACGTGCTGCTATGGCAAACAGTACTCTAAGAGAATTCATGTCAACAACTGGGCTGAAGGTATCCTTGAAATCTATTTCCCCTTCCTTTTGTTGACATCCTCTCACAACCAGTCTGGCTTTGTGTCTTCCATCATCCTTTATTTTGAAAACCCATTTACTGGTCAGAATTTTCTTGCCCATTGCTTTCTTTCTGTTTACATACATCCAAGTTTTGTTTTGGTAGAGCGAATCCTTTTCCTCTTTAATGGCTTTCTTCCACTTCCCGCCGTCTTCGCTCTCCATGCACTCATCATATGTATAGGTGAGCATACCCTCCTTTTGGCTCTCTGTGTGATAGTCTCGGTAGTTTGGGTGCATGAATGTTTCTTCTTGGTCTCAATGCATATCCTTGTTCGTTCTGTCCATTGTTTTTCCTTCCATTATCCTTGTGGTCAGCATTTTCATTTTCTTCATCCTCTTCAGTATCTGTTGGTTCTTCTTCATTGTTGTCAGCTTCAGGTTCTTGCTGCATTTCGCTATCTTCCTGATCTGGAGTATTTGGCTTATCTTCTGGATCCGTCACTCTTTCCATTTCCTTTTGTTTATTTGTTGTCACAGGTTTACTTGTAAATGTCACATCTCTGGAGACACAGGTCCTTTCTGTATTTGGATCCCATATTCTGTAGCCATTTGTGTTGTATCCAACGAATATTCCTTTCTTGCCATGACTGTCCAACTTTTTCAATGGTACGAGAATTTTAGTGTACATTTCCGAACCAAAACTCTTCAATCCAGCCAGATCTGGTCTTTTACCATACCAATTTTCCGCTGGCGTTCCATTCACTGTCACTGTTGGACTTCTGTTTAGCAGGTATGCAGAAGTGAGTACAGCTTCACCCCACATTCTCTTATTTAAACCTGAGTCAAAAATCAATGCTCTTGCCTTTTCCACAATGGTACGGTTCATCCTTTCAGCAGTGCCATTTAGCTGTGGTGAATATGGTGTAGTAAATTCCATTACAATCCCCTTGTTCTTACACCATTCTCTCAAGGCGTTGTTCTTATATTGCCCTCCATTGTCACATCTTATTCTTCTCACTCTTTTATTGAAGTGACACTCAGCTTCATTTACATATTCCTTCAAAAAGGTATACACTTCACTCTTATTTTCTAACAGGTATATCTTACAAAAATGCATATAATCATCCACACATGTAAGGAAATATTTCTTATTGTCATAAGCGGTGGAATCAATTGGTCCACACACGTCACTATGAATTATCTCTAATGGCTTTCCAGCCCTACTTCTTTCTGTATCAAATGGGAGTCTCACTTGTTTGGCCTGCATACACACTGAACATATATCAAAATTTTTACACTTGCTCACACTTTCTGGTAGCCCTTGGCATATCTCTTGCAGTTTCCTAAGATTCACATAACTTATGTGACCTAGCTTTCTATGCCACTCTACATTTGTATCTTGCTGAGTCATCATAGCTTCATTCCTCACACTAAAGTTAATTACAAACAATCCATTTTCATCCTTTTTTCCTTCGATTAAAACATTTTTGTCCTTGAGTATCTGGACTTTCTCTTTTGTAAACAACACTTCTCCATCATTTTCTATAATACAGAGCACTGACAGCAGGTTTTTGCTGAGTTCTGGAACATATGAAACGTTTTTCAAACTACACTCTTTAAATTCCAAACTGCCTATTTCTTTTGCAGTCATACTTTGATTTTTCTTCGCTACCTTTATACACTGAGTATAGTGCTTAGTATGTATCAAATCAGTCTTCACATTTGTCATATGACATGTGCTACCACTATTCACTACATACATTTTGTCTTTTTCACTTGCATCACTCACGTGGGTTTCTGCTGCTTCAGGTAGAAAATTGACCTTGCTTCTTTTACTCCTATCTTTAAAATAACAGTCTTTTTCAGCATGGTTCCTTTTTTTACCTACTGTACATTGTTTTCTCCTATCACTGTCCTTATTTCTAAAGTAACAGTCCTTTTCAGAGTGATTATTCCTTTTATAGATAGAGCAATTTCTCTTACCTTTGTTTGGGCAGTTGATCTGGGCATGATCTATGTGATTACAATTGAAACACTTGAAAGGGGTTTTACTTTTGGTTTTAGTTACTGTCTTAAAAGCTATGCTTTCCTCTTCTTTAGTCGTCATCTTGCACTTCACTTCTTCCAACATCAACTGGCCACCAGGTTGTCAAGGGTTCTGTCCACGGTCGCCGTTGAGTCCCAGGAGGTGCTGAAGTGTTTGTAGTCTTCTGGTAGAATCGTTATTTTTTTCATGATCATGTTTTCATCAACGTATTGGTTCAGTTGACGAAGCTTGAAGGCAATGTTCTGCACATGACTTATATTCATCATATCCTTAGTTTTGTCATACTTGAAGTTGTAGAAGTCTTGTATCAGAAGGCACTTCTGTTGAGAGGTGTCTCGCTGATAAATTTGCTTCAAGGTGTCGTACATTTCTTTCTCGGTTGTGCATGTCACAATGTGGGTCTTCAGGTGTTTCTCTATCGTTCTATGTAGTACTGGCACTTTGCATCTCGCATCTTCCATTTCCTTATATTTTCTTCGTCTCTTCCTTGGTCACTTAACAGGTCACTGCCATCAACGATGTTTATCAGTTCTTTTGCACGCATCAGAATCTTGATTTCAAAATCCCACCGTGGAAATGAGTGGGAGTCCTTCAGTTTTGGCAGATGAGTTACCTCTTCTGTCTCTGTGGTTGCCATTTTTTCGTTATTCTTCTTCTGTCTTCTTTTTTAGTTTTTGAGCAAATCTGGGCCCATAACCTGTTGTTTTTCTTTGTGTCGTGCTTACATATCACGTAGGAGCCATATTGGATTGAAGAAACTGTTTACTATATTACAAAACAAAAACAAATGAATATAGATCACTGTTACCAACTTGAACATTTTTACATTACTAGATTCTCAACAAGTATTGCCCAAAAGATATTGAGAGACAATCCATTATCCAAAACCAATTAAGTTAATGTCAATACAGTAAAATATAATAGTAACAGCATGTTCTTAACCCCAACTACTGAGGAAGTGGCAGGCATAAAGGATTGAGTAATAAAAATCGTTGTATTATATTAGTATATTGTTATATCATTATAATATTTATTATATTATTCTTATTCTTATTTATTATTGTAAAGTATTTGACTTGTCCTATATCATGTATAATGATCCATGGATATGAAGTAAATAAATAAGTACACATACTAGCCAGTGCCACGTTCGAGATTCGAACCGAGCGCCTCTTGAATACAAGTTTAGAGCGTTAACGGTAGCTGTGTGTTTGTTGTGTGGAAAACAGAATGACACATTTAAAGTACTCGCATTTGTAAGTGTTTTGCTATCGATTGCAAAGTTTTTGCTGTTTAAAGCAGTGTATCAAATGTAAGCATTCACGAATTGAGAATATACAGAGGCATTGAAGAACTGGAACGCATCAGAATTTTATAATCCCAGGCGTGTTCGAATTTGCCTATAGCTTTCATGACGTACAAGGATTCATCCATATAATCCAGTTCAGTGATTCAGTTTTTGAGGTGCTTTCCTTCTGCTGTGATTTTAGGTACTCAAGACCACGCCCACCAGTCTGCAGTGAAGCTGCAAGATATTTTCTGCAGTGTATAGCAAATAGAGCTTATTCTGAAAGCAGTCATCTCTGTGACAGAGTATAATAAGAGCGATTTTAGGTCTTCAATCTATTGGTTTTATTTACATTTGCACATTTGTAAGATTCATGAACTTTGGACGTGTTCATTTGAGATAGGATAGGTATCGTCGGATCACGGGATTCATAGTTCAACCGCTCTGTGCGTGCAGTGACTTGGTGTAGTACGTCCACTCCAAAGAAAGAGTGTCCAAGAGTCAAGAAAATGGTTTCTAATGCGGTGATGTTGGAGATGAGAGAAAGTATATTATGCTGATGTTTAGTCACATTTCGTAGCGTCAAAATATACATTAACACTCACTCACCATTCCTACTAACAGCATTTTTCACGTGTAACAATTGAAAAATGAATTGTCATCAAATATTAAGTGGTGCTTGTAACGCAGGCGATCGCTGCTTTGCTGTGGGAAGTGTTGAGGGTATACCATTTACGGTATGTTTGCAAATTAATATTAATTATATTACTTATTTGTATGTGAATATGTATCTTTATAGTGTATATATGCATAGGTATTCAAATTGTGTCGAAGAGAGTTTTGACATTTCCGTCACAGGTGCTTGATAAGATTTGACAGTTCATCATTTTTAGTTGTATTTATTTTCTTTCGAATGGATAAGCCTGACATTTGTTATTAGTTGAAGATGATAAGGATAAATTAAAAGTAATAACATTACTATATTCTAACCTACTGGAATTATTGTGCAGCTTTATGCTTATTTGAGAGGCCGTCACCTGGAATTTTTTGACATGTGTTTCTAAATGGCACATCACCCGGACGCGTCAATATTTTTCTGTTCTCCGGTTTTTAAATCAGTCCCTCCAGTATGTATTTTATTATCTTGATATACACTTTCTGTATGTAATTTGTGTTATTTTTAGTGGTGATTTTTTTGTATTCTGAAGGTGGAAACTGAAAAAAAAATTAAAACTCTGAAAGGCACGCCAAGAATAAGTGTGTTCACATTAACTTATCATAATATTTCTGATGATAATTGCATTGGGATGAATATTAACTAGATTTATTTTCATGTAACAAGTTGGGCTTCAAATGAAATGTGCGACTGTTCATACTGCATTCATTTTGTAACATATGTAATGACGTTTGTTTAGAGTTTAGAAATTAAGTTCATATAATGAGCTGAGCAGTAAAATATGATCTACAGACATCAGTTATTGGTTTTCTTTATGAAACCTCGGTATATTCATTTATGTATATGATGCTTCTGGGGGAAAAAAATCCTGTTACCAATGTCACAATACTGATCTTTATCAGTACTTACCTTTGTATGATTTATGAAATTATTAATAACTTCTGTGGCTTTTTGAAGCATGTGTGTCACGAAGTAAGCATGGCTGCAGGGATGTAAATGTGGTTTGAGGTTGCAAAGTTTCAGAAAAGTCGGAGAATAAAGATAGACAACAGTGCAGTCATTTTCCATATGAGCAAACTGTTCATCTTGTGATGTGTTTATAATTTAAATTTTATATAATTTTTTGTGACATATTTCAGTATAGATATTTGTTCCAGTATGTGTGTTCATGTATTAAATATATGGTGTGCTGAATGCATTGATTCCTGATACCTGAATTTAGTAGTGGATATGATACTAAATGAAAATGTACTTGGAAGTTGAAAATTGTTGAATGGAACAAAATAATGTATTTGGATGCCCACAGCTCTGTGATGCAAATGTAGAATTTGAATAATCTGTTGTTATAGCAATTTCTAATATATATTTGTAAATTACTATCATATTCATGAATGGAAACACTGCATTGTTTTATGATTGTGATTTAATCAATGTACATGAGATTTATGATATTGTGATGAATTTCTTTTTATAAATAGTTGTAGTCAGATCCAGAAATAAACAGATACTACACACAAACATTATCCATTTGTACTAATTCTTAACCATTAACAAATAATTAATAAGGATCATAATGGAAAGAAAACTAGAGCAATAATTGTCAGCCATGAGGGAGATAATCCAGGTACCTCTTGAAGAGTGTCATCGTCTTGGTTCTAATACTCTGTGTTTTGGAGAAAGCCTGACTTTGTGAAGGAATGTAACACCTTAATCTTCAGGGTTGAAGTATAAACCAAGCAAGAAACCAGTAGAAGCAAGCAGTGATATGTTCCTCCAAAACATGGGGTTTTCTCTGAACTACATAGCCTTACAACCCAGAAGACCATACTTTTCATACTCACTGATGTTAGTACCTCAATTCCAAAACAGGTTTCCTTTTGGTTGCCAGCTTATACATGTAAAGTAACTGAGTTTGCCAGCTGAAACTACTCAGTAAAATTATATCATCTAGTTATGTGATATTTTATATTAGTCGTTTAGAATATGTCTGCGATGATTGTGTTGGATTTATTGTTCCAGGCTTATGCTGCTGGATGCAATATTGTTATTTTGGCAAGTACTTTTGAACGAGTTCAAATTATACCAGGTGCTTGGCACAACTATATCAGAATCAGCTGTGTGGATTGTTCTACAGATACAGGAAAGATTGCTGCATCATATGAGAATCAAGTTTGCATATATGAACCAACACCACTTATCCACAACAACAGTGCACATGTATGTATAAGTTGTCACAGCAGTTCGTAATATTGTATTTAAGCATCCTGGTGCATTAGTTTATCACTTTATATACATACACACAATACAGTTCAGTGCAGCTTCACAGGTTGTTGGTTGATTCGCCAGTTAGTGTATGCTTTCATGTAAATACAGTGACATGTTTTGACCACAGAAGACCATAGATATACAGGGAGGATTTTTACTTTGTGACTGATTCCATGACTCTGCGCTTCACAGTGGCCAGTGTGTCACTTGCTAGGCTCATACAAATTTTGCCAATGAATCAGCATCCCTAACAGCCAATAATGTTCGGAATGAAGGAACGTTCATGCCTTTGTTAACAGATCACAGGTGTTGAAAATGCTGTTCCCCTACATGTAGACACTCCTTGCACTGGTGGAGGAGGTTCTGATTTACCCTTTGAAGCTGTGGCACGTGGTAGCGTAGCTGGCTGAAGGGCTATGCTACAAGCTGGAAGGTCATGGGTTCAAGTCCCGATGAGGTCACTGGATTTTTTCAGTTGACCTAATAAATCCAGCCGCACTATGGCCCTGGGGTTGACTCAGCCTCTAACAGAAATGAGTACCAGGAATTAATTAAATAATTTCCTAGGGAGTAAAGCGTGGCTGGTGCGTAAGGCTGACAACCTTACTGCCATCTTTGAGCCGATTGTCTAAATAAAGTGGGACCCTCAACGTCTCACAACGCTATGGGCCTTCACGGCCTGTTACGGGGATAGCTTTACTTTACTTACTAGCTGTTATGCAGGAATATTTGCAATTTCCCTACAAATATTTTCTTATATTTCTTCCGTTGGGGGTTACTGTTGTAACCTTTGTCCTTCAGACAACCCCAGAAGAAAAAATCACAATGATTAGGATCAGGTGAATGTGCTGGTCAAATATCACTGCGGATAATTCTGTCCCCGAAGACACTGGACAAAGCCTGTGTAGACATGCAGTGTGGGCAGTAGCTAAGTCTTGTTGAAGCCAGCCATAGAGTCTTTCTTCTTCTGTTAACTGCGGAAAGAGTTGCCCAAGAATAGCCTGTATATATCTTTTGCATTAAATTTTTTCATTAAAAAACACCTCCAACAATCCTTGCATTTAAAAGACACCAGACATCAACTTTCACTGGATGGAGCAGTGGGTCAGATGTGGAATCTGTGAACTCCAGTAGAAATTATTTTGCATATTTATATATCCCTACAAGTGAAACCACACTCACCTTCGACAACAGAGTATAGAAACCAACTGCAAAATGAACCCTGCTAGCTGGATCACACAGCTGAGAGGCATGACGTACTGTTGTTTTTAGGGTCTAAACTTCAGCAATTGTGTTGCTGTTCCTGCACAAGACTTTGACGCTCCAGTCTCTTGAGCTATATATTTCAGTGTTTTTTAAGGTGTACAAGTTGACCCTGTGTCATCTAACTTCTTCTCGGTAAGCACTCGGCGCTTCTGTGAACATAACCAGTATCACTTTCAGTAAGTGCAAATAATCTGATGCCTCACTTCGTTGGTTTCTTTGGATTATGAGCGTAGAAAATTATTTTTCGCTTGAACCCAATTGTTGATTAATCTATTACAATGTTTTTATCTGGTACAAAATTTTTCTGCAATTGTTTCTCTATATATTTTGTCACTTCATGTACTTTCCTGTCTTTTGATGGTCTGATTGCTTTATTCACTGGCATCACTTTGATGCATGCATCCATTGTTGCGTCTTCCCGCCTACCAACACAGAACACTTGTTTTGCTCTCATTCTCACTTTCCGACATTTTGTCGCTCACTTCTTCACTCACAGATTCTCCTTTGATTTCCAAATTAATCTCATCATCATAGTCAATATCAAGTAATTCACTTAACATATCACTACTAGATTCTTCATCAGCATCACACGGGGGCTTACATCTTGTTTCTTCAATCCAGAAGGCCGTGATTCGGCTGAACATAAAAGCATGCTACTAAGACGTGACATGCTGTAATATACAAATGGCATTCATTCCTCAAGAAGTTCAAATTGAGGCAGACAAAACTAATGACGTTTGATCGAAATATGACTGCAGAAACATGAAACAAACTTTGTTGATAATATATTTACATTTGTTCATGGAAGCACAGTCACCATGTTGATTATATATTGATGTTTGACCGGAAATGGTTAATACAAGGTGTGGCAATAAAGAACCCGGATTACTTTTATGACTCATTTCCGGCCACGTCATTGACGAAGAGGAGGGTAGGGCATTGACCCTTGGACTTCCCTCTACCGTCACACAAAGTTTCATTCACGTGCATCGGTTAGTCTGGCCGCGACCATTGTTAGAAGCGGATCGTGTTTCTGAGCTCCGTCGGAATAATGCTGAGTGCTAATGCAGAACAACGTGCTAACATCAAATTCCTCACAAAACTTGGAAAATCTGCCACTGAAACTTACAATTTGTTGACAGAAGTATATGGTGATCAGTGTCTA